TGGGCGACACAAAAGATCCAACAGCGACCTATTTTTTGCTGCTTACTGTGGGAGCCACAAGTTCAAACCCCAGCTCAATGTACTATTCTACACATTGTACAAAAAGACATTCCCAAACGGGAGATTATGTCCATGCTGAAGCTGTCTGTTGTTGCAAATGTGTGCTCATCATCTGCTCATCAGTGTGTACGACATTAAAATCGTGTAGCATATACAGCCACAGTGTGCTCCATTGTTTTCTCTTTTCTGTTAAAATGCGTACATATATGCATACACAAAATACATGCTGACATTATTGGATATGTTTCTCAATGTTAGTTGTTTTGTTACCAATAAAGAATTAAAAACATAAAATCATTATTTTTTATAAAAATTACACTTTCACAATATGTAGACATTTAAAAAGAAACAAAAATGTCAACTTCCAAAAAGTAAATAATAAATTATAATACATTAAAAATGAAGTGCACAAAGAACAGTAACAAATAACATCCAAGTAACATTTTTCTACAGTTTGAACAGCTCTAAATGTATGAAAGGTTTATTCTGATTGGTTACTCGGTTTGTTTGATTTTCCAAGAGCCAATGCGCTCAAATCGACAATCATTTTTGGGGCAGTGAAGAGGGAAAATACCGTAATTTTGTTTCTCGTGCGAACGAAATACTAACAGTAAATGTGGTTTTCATTTGAGAAACTCCATTCGTTTCCAAAATTGAATGTTAAAAGCCAACGAAGTTTTGAATGCTATTCTACAAGTCGCTGATGGCATGAACGCTCATACGAAAATCTACCAGTGTATGGCCAGATTTAGCAAAGAAGCAAAGCGCAGTAATCCTAAAAGCAAGTCAGCAAGTCTCATACCATATAGGTGCGAAAATATTTTACTGTTCAACAGACAGTAGCACGCGGGCAAGACCAGGAATGTTGCAATCATAAAATCTGCATGCAAATAGATTGTTTTACCTCACAATGGAGTGCTTTGCATTGTGTTGCCTAAGGAAAGCACGTTGGTCATTATTTTATGCAACAGCCTGACATGAAATATATTTGCAAACAGACGGAGAAAATACATGGGTTTCATTTCCAAACAGCATTACCAAGGTGATGGTTACATAGGATGCCTCTGCCGTGTTTATTAGCTAAAAAAAAACAGAACCTTTACAAAAGCAAAGGAATGAAAGATAATCAAAATTAAAAAAATTAAATTAAAAAAGGAGAAGAAGAAGAAGATCAACACTCTGAGCTGTTCTATAAAAGGCAAAATATTATATATAAAGCCAACATATTAAATAAATTTAAAAAAATATTTGTTATATATAAAGGGTAAAGTATTATTAAATAAAAAAAAAGCTCAGCTGTCCTCTTCCTCATGTATCCACCTTATGTCCATAATATTATCTGTCTTTAGCGTTCATGTAAAGGAGATGAAACAATGGGACCCCTTCCCCCACCCAAAAAAAAGCAATGTTCTCCAATGTTTAATTAGAATTAAGCCACACTGCTGGCAAGGGACTGCACGACAATGTAGTCCCAAGGCACATAATTTAAAGAGGAAAAAAAAAAATGACACCATACATACAGATGCAGACCATGCTTTTCAATATTATAAAAAATATACATAGT